GACCCCCCAGCACCCACCCAGCAGCTTCTTGCTGTCCAGCTTCTGTCGGTTCAGGGGGCTGGTGCCGTAGAGCAGCGCGTGGTGCTCCGAGTGCACCGTCTGGATCTCCTCCAGCGTGGCCTTCCTGCCGCGGATCCGCTGAGGGGAGGGGGCACYGGCTGAGCCCCCGGGGTGTCCCCGCACCCCCTGACCCCTCCCCGGCCCCGGGAGACCCTCCCTCACCTCGCACTTGCCCAGCAGGCCGGTCTCCTGCAGCCGGGACCAGATGCTCTGGATGCGGCCGGCGTGCTCGGGGTGGATGGTGGTGTTGCCGCAGGTGCATTGGTGCTTCAGCATGAAGGTGTCGTACACCACGCCTGGGCACAGCGCAGCTGGCACGGCTGGCACGGCCACCGGGGCCACCACAGAGGGCCACCGGGGCTGCCAGTGCCACCCCGAAACCACTGCCACCCCAAAACCACTGCCACCCCAAAACTGCCACCTGGCACGGCCACCGGGGCCCCCACAGAGGGTCACCGGGGACTGCCAGTGCCACCCCGAAACCACTGCCACCTGGCAGGGCCACCAGGGCCACCACAGAGGGCCACCGGGGCTGACAGTGCCACCCCGAAACCACTGCCACCTGGCATGGCCACCGGGACCACCACAGAGGGCCACCGGGGCTGACAGTGCCAGCCCAAAACCACCGCCACCCCAAAACCACTGCCACCTGGCACGGCCACCGGGGCCACCACAGAGGGCCACCGGGACTGCCAGTGCCACCCCGAAACCACTGCCACCCCAAAACTGCCACCCCAAAACTGCCACAGCCACCAGGGCCACCCCAGAGGGCCACTGGCACTGCCAGTGCCACCCCAAAACCACTGCCACCTGGCACGGCCACCGGGGCCACCCCAGAGGGCCACCAGGACTGCTAGTGCCAGCCCAGAACTGTCACCCCAAAACTGCCACTGCCATCCCAAAACTGCCACCCCAGAACTGCCAGTGCCACCCTGGAACTGCCAGTGCCACCCCAGAACCACTGCCACCCCAAAACTGCCACCCCAAAACCACTGCCACCAGGGCCACCCGAGAGGGCCACCTGGCACTGCCAGTGCCACCCCACAACCACCACTGCCACCCCGAAACTGCCATCCCACACACCCCAGAACCGCCACTGCCACCCCAGAACCGCCATCCCGCACACCCCGGCACTGCCACCCCAAAACT